TTCCGGCCCAGTCCAACGCTCTGCCGCCGAGGATCAGTCCGTGCCAATCGGACGTCCCCCTGGCTGCGATTTTGCATCGCACGAAAATTTCAGTGTTGGGGCGACAGTCGTCCGCCGTCCTGCCTTCCAGCAGCGTGACGCGCAAGACTGCTGCCCCCTTCAGAGGAACGGGGGCTCCCGAAGCAATGCCATGCACGTATTCGGGGTGGACCCACTTTTCGAGTCTCACGACCGGGAAGCCGGGATCTTCGGTGCCGATCCCCAGCTCTGCTGCCCGGTTCATCATGCCCACCACGAGTTCCTCTGTCACGTGGTTTGCGCCGGCGCATCCGTCGAGCATGCACCCGACCTTACGGTCGAGCACCTGGACTACCGTCCTGTACTGGTAGCCTCCTGGCTCGTTGTCTGCCAGGCTCCACCAGTCCTTCGGCAGATCGTCCAGGGTGGCGAACTTGTCCCGCCCGCCCTTGCTCAACGGAAGCGCGTGCTGCTGCACCGCGGCGCGTCCTGCGGCTCCTGAGACGCCTGCCTGGACGCCTGAGCTGCCTATCTGGACACTGAACGCGGCGAAGGGGTTAGACATGGAAGCACCGGAGGGCGGGGCCCAGTTGGCAGGCAGGGCCGGCGTCCCTCCTGAGGTCGTCAGGTTGTGGACCATGTCGCAGCTGGCTCCTTTCTTGCACGACCCATTCTTGGAGAAAAAGGGGCAAACCGTGCCTGGTGGCTTTGCCGCGCCTTTGGCCGCAGCCTTAGGCTTTGCGTTGGCCTTTGCCTTGCCACCTCCCCTCCCTTTGCCCTTGCCTTTCGCCGTGGCAAAGGTTTGGTCACCCTTCTTGGCCGCGAGAGCTTTTCTGCGAAGCTCCTTGTCGTGGCTGTACGGGCAGGCATCCCCTTTCGGGCAATTCCCGTGGTCGCGAAAGTGGAAGCAGATCTTCTTGTCCGCTCCTTTGCCAGCTCCCTTCGACGCAGCGGCAAACGTCTGATCCGCGCCAGCTTTGGCCGCGGCAGCTGCTCCTTTCGCAGCAGCCTTGGCGGCGGCCTTGAGGCTCTTAATCTCCTTCTGAGCCTCGGCTAGCGCGACCGACGGGTCCGCGCTCGGAGAGCCGGTCGTGGAGTACACAGAGTGGGAAACAGCCCGGTGAGCTGCTTCCCTCTGTTCGTACTCCAAGACGACCTTGTGGCTCTCCTCCCAAGTCTGCGGCCCTCGCAGCCCGCCATCCTTGGGATCGCCGGGCCACAACCGCTTGTCATTACGTATCTCCTTTTGGAGATACGGGGGCATCTTGCGGAGGTACGAGAGATACAACTCTCGTGGGGTCTTCCCGAGACCCACCGCCTCAAGGTCCGCGATCGATGCCTCAAACAAAGGCTCGAATTGGTGGCCTGTGAGCTTGCCCTTAGCGAGGGAGGCATGCTCACCATCCACGCGGACTTCTCTTTCCTCCCGCGATTCCCCGAACATCAAGTGCTTGTTCTTGATGCGGTCGTACACCGCCTGTGGGTCGGAGAGAACCTCTCCCGACTTCCACGCTGCGCGGTAGGCGTTCGTGTACGTCTTCATGCGCGAGCCGCGGCAGCGCCCGCGTAGCGCTAGCAGCTTCTCGCGCGCACTCATACCGCGACAGTTGTTGGCCAGCGCGCAGACGTCCTCGAACTCCTCGTAGAACAGGACAACGTCTCGCGCGTCCGACTTGTCGTCGGTCAGCGTCGGCCACGTGAGGTCCGTTTTGACCGTCGTTATGGAGCTTTGCCCGCCCCTCTGCGCCAACGCTTCTTTCAGCGCTTCAGTTTGGGCGGCGAGTGCGGCGGCGAAATCGCCCGCCGGGTTTTGGGACCCGGTCTGCGAACCTCCGCCGTCTGAACCTCGCTTCAGGGCTTCTATCTCCATCTCCAGCGCCGCAAGCTTCGCGCGCAAAGGGGAATCGCCGTCCGTCGCGCCCAGGTCACGGGCCGCGGAAGGACCACCTGCAACCTCGGCAGTGTGCAAACCTTCACGGTCCAAACCTACCCCCAACCCACTTGCAGTCGCAGGCTGTGGGAGCCCTGGGGAACGCGGCCCCACGGCTTCAACTGGCACATCGGACGGGGAGCTCAAAACCTTCTCTTGGCTCGAGCTTTCTTTTCCCCCTAGCGCGAGGATAAGCTCCCCGATGCATTGGATTTCACGCTGAATCTCCTCTGCGTCTTCGGGGTCCTCGCCACCGCGCAAAGCCGCGACCGAGAATCTGGTCCGCAGCCGACGGACCATCTTTGTCGGATGCCAATCCCCGCCTATCTTGGAGAACTCATCCGCAAGGAGGGTGGCTTTGGTGCTTAAGGCGTCAAGGTCACGGGAGCTCACCGTGACTCCATGCGCTTTCAGCGCGAGGACAATCCGCGAAACGCGCGTCAAGTAGTCCGCGACCGGTTCCTGGTCTGGACGGAAAATCGCGCGCAGCTCCGCCTGCAAGCCCTCTGCGGTGCCTGGCACCGAACCTGCTGTCGACGGCGGACCGGACGGTCCCGCCGGGCGAGACCCTGGTGCCGTAGCAGGGACATAGGCAGCACCGGTAGGGACCATGGCCAGCTCCCTAGCCGCGGCGCTGACGTCCGCCCGCGGCGGACTGTCGCCTCCAGCGCCCGAGGCCTCAGGGACTAGCTCGGAGTCCTCTTCTTCTTCTTCTTCTTCTTCTTCTTCATCTTCGTCCTCCTCTTCGGCGTCATGGAGGAACTTCATGACTTTTCGCCAGAGAGCCGCCTCTTGCTCTGGCGTAGTACTGATCCCATCCCGCTTGGACAACGGACGGCTGCCAGTCTCCCTACGCCACTTAAGCCAAGCGACGTAGCTCATCCGGTCGGGATAGGGAACGTCTCCACCCTCGATCGCTTCGAGGAGGGTGACGCCCTCGGCCTGACCTGCAACCTCTGCGGACATCGCCGCGCCTTGGTTAGCAGGCCGCAGGCGTGGCACACGAAGCGCCGCGCCTTGGTTAACAGGCCGCAAGCGTGGCACACAGTCCACGCGTCCAGGTCACGGACCGCGACAGACAAGCAAAGCAATGCTTGCCCACTCGGGCCGTAGGCACAAGAGCTGTACGTTTCCCAGAACAGCCCCCAATTGTGAAGTCGACCAGCACTGGACTTGCACGAAGCCAATGCAATCACAGCCCGGTCACGCTGTTTTACGACTTCGCGAGTTCAAGCACTTGTGCAGCTACGCCTGAGTGCGTCCGGTCGGACCGCACAGCAACCTAAGAGCTACTGTACGAAACTACCGTGCTCAAAGGCACAAGCTCGGTACTTGAGCCAAAATATTGGCATTGATTCGAATTGCAAAACTCTACATGCAAAGGAAAACTACAAGGTGGTCTGCCGAGTCCTAATGCATCACAGAGCAGAAGATGCATATGCACTCATGTCAGCTCACATACTACGACCACCACCACCACCACGACGACTACTACTACTACTACTGCTGCTACTACTACTACTACTACTACTACTACTACTACGACTACTACGACTGCGACTGCGACTGCGACTACGCCTACTACTACTACTACTGCTACTACTACTACTACTTCTTACTACTTCTTACTACTACTTACTACTACTTACTACTACTTACTACTACTTACTACTACTTACTACTACTTACTACTACTTACTACTACTTACTACTACTTACTACTACTTACTACTACTTACTACTACTTACTACTACTTACTACTACTTACTACTACTTACTTCTACTTACTACTACTTACTACTACTTACTACTACTTACTACTACTTACTACTACTTACTACTACTTACTACTACTTACTACTACTTACTACTACTTACCACTACTTACTACTACTTACTACTACTTACTACTACTTACTACTACTTACTACTACTTACTACTACTTACTACTACTTACTACTACTTACTACTACTTACTACTACTTACTACTACTTACTACTACTTACTACTACTTACTACTACTTACTACTACTACTTACTACTACTTCTTCTACTTCTACTTCTACTTCTACTTCTACTTCCACTTCCTACTGCTACTGCGACTGCTACAGCTATTGCGACTACGACTGCCACTGCGACTACGACTATGACTGCTACTAGTACTAGTAGTAGTAGTAGTAGTAGTAGTAGTAGTAGTAGTAGTAGTAGTAGTAGTAGTAGTAGTAGTAGTAGTACTACTTCTTCTTCTACTTCTACGTCTACTTCTACTACTACTACCACTACTACCACCACCACCACTACCACTACCACTACCACTACCACTACCACTACTACTACTACTACTACTACTACTACTACTACTACTACTACTACTACTACTACTACTACTACTACTACTACTCATACAACACACAACACACAACAAACAATATACACCATACAACATAGAACGTACAACATACCACATGCAACACACACCACAACACAACACAACCACAACCACAACCACAACCACAACCACAACCACAACCACAACAACAGCACCAGCACCACCAGCACCACCAGCACCAGCAGCACCAGCAGCACCAGCAGCACCAGCAGCACCAGCAGCACCAGCAGCACCAGCAGCACCAGCAGCACCAGCAGCACCAGCAGCAGCAGCAGCAGCAGCAGCAGCAGCAGCAGCAGCAGCAGCAGCAGCAGCAGCAGCAGCAGCAGCAGCAGCAGCCGCAGCAGCAGCAGCAGCAGCAGCAGCAGCAGCAGCAGCAGCAGCAGCAGCAGCAGCAGCAGCAGCAGCAGCAGCAGCAGCAGCAGCAGCAGCAGCAGCAGCAGCAGCAGCAGCAGCAGCAGCAGCAGCAGCAGCAGCAGCTGCAGCTCCTGCACCCCCTCTTTTTCTTCTTCCTTCCCCAGCTAACTGCCTCTCTTTGCAAGTTGCGCTCGAGACAAGCAGCAGGCCCATTGGCTCGTATGGTCAATGGCTCAAGCTCGAAGAAGCAAAGACATGCTTCAAAACTTTGCATTGTGCCTTGCTCGAGGCGGCATTGTGCCGTTAGTGAATGTGGCAAACCTGCTCTACAGTGCTCGGCCCGAGGCTTGCGTCCAGGCCGAACTCGGGCCGGGGGCCAAGGGACTCCTGGAGACCGCGGGCGCCCTCGCAGGCCGACGCCCCATGCGATCTCGGCACCACTGCGGCCTTCACCTGCGGTGCATGTGGAGCCGCTGAGGAGTTTGATGGGATGAAGATGGAATCTCTCGCTGCGTGTCCAAACTCAATTCCTAACTTCCTGCGGACACACTTCCCGCCAGTGCCAAAATGTGCCAAGATGTGCCAAGCCGCCAGGAGGCCGTGCTCGGCATGCGAGGCCTTGGCGCTTGCCTTAGCAGAGGCATTGCCTGCCAGAGCCTCCGGGCTTCCGGCCTCGTAGAGCTTCCGCATGACGGAGAAGTTCCTCCCGCTCCCGCTCCCGCTCCCGACCCTATATGAGCTCAATCTGAAGTGGTAGAGGCTAGGCCAGAAATTTTCTTTTCTTAAGTCGCAACCCAAGATTCCCGACATAAGGCACGCCGGGGAAGAAGTCCAGGACTGGAAAGCCGAAGAGACGGATGAAGTCGTCATGGAGCTCTTGGGTCCACAGGCCCACCGGAAAGGAGGTCGCAGCCTTGCCAGGTCGTGAAGCTCTGCAACTGTTGAAAGACATAGCGCAACTCTAAACCCGGAGAGCACCATTTCCGGAGCCGGCAGCGCCAAGCTCTTCAAGACGCATTGCAAGATTGCAAGTGGACGCCAGGCAACCCTGCACCTACGCAAAACAAAAAAAGCCTGTCCAATGGGAGAGGTCAGCCTACAGATTTGTGACTGTAAGGTTCGGGTGCATCTGCTCTGCACTGCTAACACGCCCCAAACACCACCTCATGGGCCCGCTCGAGCCATGAGCCCAACTTGCTCAGGAAGCCCTCCTCGGCAAACATCTCCTGGACACCGGTTGCGAAATGCGAAACGTGACTCACACTAATCTTAATCCCACATACAATGGAGCACGAACATACAAGCAGAACCTGCTAGTCTGATCGTCCACATGCCTTATGCGCTGTGCTCCTCGGCGCTGAGCAGCCGGCCCTGCCCGTGGTTTGAGGCGGCCATCTGCAAGTCTCGAAAGGCATCCGTGGCCGTGTACTTGAGGCTGCTCTCCACCCACTCCCTTTTCAGGGTCTTTGGATGTCTTTGGAATTCATTGTTTACAGTTACATTTGAAGACTGTGTTGGGTTTCATGGTCCCTTAGTTCTATTTTGGTTCTCTGGCCTGAGCTTCGCGGGCCACGTTTGCCGCGGCTGCATGACGCACTCTCCGGTGCTGGCAAAGTCGTAGCCGCCTTCCGTCGCTGGCCGTTGCATCTTGATCCAGTAGCCGGGACCCCCGTACTCCAGTGTCCGGTTCTGGGGCGCGTAGACGTCCCTTTTTCGGATGAGTAGATCCGCATGCGGGTTTGGGTCCAGCCATGCGCTGAGGGTGTACTGGTCGAAGCAGCTCTGGAGAACCCTGTACCGGACTGGCAGATTCTGTTCAGGACTTGCAGGGTACTGCACTATCGCCCACACGTGCTGCGTATGACTCCCCGAAGTCATCATGTACCAGAAAAGCTCGTCCTTCGCATCCCTCTTCTCGGAGAAGTTGCCCAGCACATCCGCCCGTGTTTGCCACAAGGGCCACGTCCCCACCGTAGGAATTCCCAACAGCATCTCTTCTTCAACACCCAAGTGCAGCTCCGCTAGCCAGCTGACTGTGGGTCCACAGGCAGCCTCCGTGCCATTGGCGGCCGTGCGCTCAAGAATCTCCGCTGCGAGCCTCTTTCGGGCACTTTCGTTGTGGAGGAGACCTTCAGCGCCTCCATGGGACGCTGCAGCCTCAGTGAAGAGTTGCATCTTCTGCAGCTGCCGCAGGTTCAGCTTGGCATCGAAGGGCATCAGCTGCCGCACCTCTGGGAAGCAGCGCTGCACTTGGTCCGCCACAGTGCCTGGGTTGTCCGGGCTGGTCGTGCTCCGTCGGCCTTCAACTTGGAGGAGGTGGCAAGCGACCATGCCATCATCATTGGTTACGCGGCCGTCACGAAGGGCTGCTTTCAACTGTTCTGATGCTGCACTCCTCGCAATCTGGGCCAAGCCCAGCACCAGAGCCACGATCCTCGCTAGCCTAGCCCATGGCATCGGCATTTTCAGGGCACAATCCCGGGAGAAACCTTTGATTTCAGAACCCGGACCCGCTAAAGGCCACTCAGCACGAACCGACAAGCTTCTGGATTGGATGTCGAAAAACAACGATACAGCCTCCCCAAACATCACCGAAACTCCCTGACCACCCGGAAACCAGCCGAGGGTCCAAAGATACGAGCCCTACCCATCCTATCCTGCCATTTGCTTAAATACCAATACAATAAGATCTGCTCGACCTGCGGTGCTGTCGCCAGTGCCTGCTCCTGCTCCACCACTGCCGGCCATGCCAGCGCCACTGCCTGCCTGGGCTGAGTGTAGGAAGGCACAGGAAGGGGTGGAGTTGGCTTTTTGTTTGCTCCATGTCCTAGGTTTTTTCTAGGACAACCTCTATTCAGGATTCCTAGTAAGTTTCATTAACGTTTGCAAAAACCCTATTGCTTCTAAAGGAGATTCGTGCTAATTTTAGATTTGTTAAAACCTCGATTTCCTCTACATTTTCATAGGACTCGCTATGACTTTCCAGGCGATTCTTGTTACTTTTCCTAAGACCTCAAAATTTCTACTCGCACTCTTTTCGATTTTGTTCTAGGCTTCTTCTTTATTGTCATGGTAGTTTCATAGGATTCTGATTGAATTCAATAAATTCGATAAATTCTAAACACAATGCGTGCAGGATGGGTTTGGAAAGGTTTCCGCAACATGGGTTTGGACAGTTTTCCTATGCTTGTAATGCAAGATCTCGTCTGGGCATGTTGAAAAAGACACAGTTGCAAACACAATGCACAATGCTCGCGGACAGGTTTGGAAAGGACTCCTATGCTGTTAAGGCAGGTTCCCTTCTGGGCATCTGGGCATGATGGTAAAACAGGGGGGGTGGGGTTCTGGCAGGGTGGGCGCAACAACCCCCCCCCCCCCCCCCGAACGCCCCCGCCCCGGTTGCAAACACAATGCTCGCAGGACGGGTTTGGAAAGAATTCCCATGCTTTTTATGCACATTCTCTTCTGGGCATGAAGCTTTCTGTCGTTCTTTCTTTCGTTCTTTCTTGCTTTCTTTCAATCTTTCATTCATTCATTCATTCATTCATTCATTCATTGTTTCATCCATCAATCCATCCATCCATCCAATTCATGCATTCAGTCATTCATTCATTCATTCTTCTTCTCTCTCTCTCTCTTTCTCTCATGCTTCCTTTCTTTCTTCTCTTCTTCCTCGATCCTGCGTGGCCCCGCTCTCTTCGAAAAAGGAGAGGTGTTCCTAGTCGAAGCGTAGAGAAGATGGAGGTTCCGCCCCCTCCCCTCAAAACATGGCGACACAAAAGAACCGCGAAATCATAGGCCCGTAGGAAGGCCCTTGTATGGTACTGATGGCCCGTCAAGCCAAGCCTAAACTCCAACAGCTCTCTGGGGACCCTTTGAGCTGGCCATCGCTAGGTGGGTGCTGCAGGCCTCTCTGAAAAATGGCAGCATTGAGGCCAGCATTGAATCCAATACTTGCCCCCCCCCCCCCCCCCACACACACACACACACACACACACACACACACACACGCGCACACACAGCCCCCAATTAAGCTACCTGGAACGTCTCGAAAAACTGAGACACCCCATAAACCAGAAACACCGAGCCCCAAATCCCGTGACTTTGGGAGAGGACTTCCATCCTCCCCCTCCCCACTGCCCACCCCCCTTCCCTAAGCTCCTGGCTGTGCCGTAAACGCCTGATCTTCCGGCCTGGTCTGCACCTCGCAGTGTGGGGAAATGCCCCCCCCCCCCCCCCCCCCCCCCCCACCCCCCTTAATTTCCGACATGTTGCTGGCAACTGGGTCTATTCTCTTTGGGACCACGGGAACGAGATGAGAGAAGGGGGGGGTGCATGGCGAAAAACCACGTTGCACAGACCCTGAAAACCTCCAACCGAGGTTCTCCAGTGAGACCAAGGGTGAAAACCGAAAGTTCCCCCAGTGGCGGTTTTCGAAGACACTCCCCTTGTAGCACTCTTGGGATGGTTTTGTTTTGGGGGGGCATTTCGATTCGCAACCTTCAGTGAACTGTTTGACCATGGCCATGTCTAGGCAGCGCTTTCAAGTTGCGCCTCCCGTTGGGAACTCCACGCCCACGGCGCCAGTTCCTTGGGCGCCGCCGAAGCCTGGCTGGTTTCCGGTTTGGGGTCAAGTTGGGGTTCCCTTCGTGGAAGGCTTGGGGGGTGTCCGGACTTGGACTGTGCGTTCTGGCGTCTGCTCTGGATCATGCTTAGGTATCAACTCTCAAGGGTACCACGGATACCATGAGAGCATTTCTGTCAGGCCAAGAGGAGCCGTCATCTGTCGCGCGGCCTATGTACAAGGGCAATTTCGGAGGGGATCTAGCTTCGATAACCCGAAACTCCCATCTCAAAATTCCGACCCCCCAAGCTGCAAACCTCAGGGTGTTGCCCGAGGCTTTCAGGATCTTCACATGGTCTTGCTCCCTGCCTGGGTCTAGGCCCGGGGTTTTTGGGTGCAGCGTCCCGTTCTCGGGCTGAGAACACAACGTCTGCAGGCTCTACATATTGGAGAGCTTGATGAGCCTAGGAGCTCGGATCCTGGCACCCTTTGGCCCCATCAGTAAGGCTAAACCGAACGCACCCCAAACCCGAGCCCTGAAAACCCGAATTGAGGAAGGGCCTTCTTCAGGAGGGGGTGGACCAAGTGGCGTTCCTGCAAAAACGTTTCAAGGGTCTGCGGATTCGTTTCCTTCAGTGCTCGATCCCGCCAGGAGCCAGTAACTCGCGTCTCTTCTTCACTAAAAGGCCCGAAGCTCAAGCCGTCGACTTTGCCGGGTGCATTCCCTCTAGAGGAGAGCTCCAGTAGGTCCGGGGAAGGATTCAAAGGCTGCGGGCTTTCTTTTTCTACGACTTCGATAGGAGCCGCGCCTTTGTAGCTGTGGCTGCAGGCATATGTGTCACACAACATGGAAGTGTGGAATTGGCCACACGCAAACTCTGAAGATCCTACGGTGGAGCTCAGGTGGGAGTGTCATTGAGTCATTGCACGTTCGCCGCTGTGCGACTCCGTATGCCAGAATTTGGTCCACAGTCCTATACCGTTGCTCAAGCGGCAGCCATCCTTGCATCTTGCCTGGCATTTTTTCCGAGATGGCTCTCAAAACAGCCCTCCGCAACTTACAACGATCTTGAATGACAGGGGCGGCTGAGATACAGGACAGGCTGGAGGCTAGGTTCATCACTTTGGCAATCTTGCAACCTGCTCAAACAACGTCCTCAGCCCCCCAAACGCCGAAAACCATGCAATTGGCTCACTATCCTGACCGTCCCACAGAAGCACATGAAGAGCTCTCGGAGTAACTCTTCCCGGGCATACCGAGTCGGTCTGTCCGATGTCGTTCACTTTCTGAGCTTCGTCTTCACCCGACTGGCCGCGGACAAAGCAGCGTGGTACCGTCTGTGTTTACGTGGGCACTGCTTGTTCTGCTACCACAAAAGACGCCCACAGGAAGCCCTCAACAGGGCTTTGGTAGAGTGCGCAGCTTGCAACTTCGGCCCCGCAACGGCTCGAGCTTAGGGCTTCGGGAGTTCGGGACGTATAGTTTTAGGGATCAGGGCTTGATTCTCATCTTGGGCTTCCCCGCACAACTCCCAGCGGCTATCGTCCTCGCTTGGACGCGACATCTAACCCATGTACCCTTCTCCCTCCAAGTAGATCCTAAAAAGCTCTTGGCACAAAGGCCGTGTAGCGCCATCCCCCTCCAAACCGCAAATCTCACATCCTTGGCTTCGGCACACGTCAATCCAGGGGCCTTCAAGCACTTGATTTCGACCACCCGAATGCACCCTTTATGTAACACGCGTTTGTATTTGCTTTTGCGAATCCTGCGCATCGATGCCCACCTAAAAGGACCTGACACGCAACCCTCAACCCTGAAGCCTAAAGCCCCCCCATAATGCCGGCACACCAGAACCCCAAATCGTCAGTCAATCCTACATTGGCCTGCTCTTTGCCCACTGCTTTGGCTTCGGATTCAATCGCCTTTGATGACTCCTTGCCACACCGAGGTGTCTGCTGTCTACTGCACTCAAGGTGGTTGACGTAGAAGTTCTGCAACAAAATTGGCTGCCTTGTCGTGCCTTCCGGTTGCCTTTCTTTTCAAGGAGGGATGAATGAAAGCTACGAAACCACTTAGCGGCATCCTTTGCAGCTACTGTGTGGTGGCATTGGATGGAAAAGTTAGTCCATGGCTGCCGCAGTCGCCATTACTGCTGCTCAAGGCAAGCCCATGTCCCCCGGGCGCATATTCTTAGAGGTCTTCGCCGGCATAGTCTTTCCAGGTATGAGTCGAAGTATGCTTTGACTACCACTTGAGCGAACCTTCTCAGCAGGTGGCCAAGATCCACCGAGGCTTTTTGTGTTCAAACAGGATCCGCAGGACTGATTCAGACTGATGTGCACTGAAGTCGGCGATGCCCGTATTGCTGTGCCAACGGCCCAATTTCTACACACAATGAGACAGAAGTGACTGCACCCCCCTTGGAACCAGTGATCTGTAGTAATCTCCTTAATCCCTCTAAGAGTAGCGCCCCTAACTTCTTCTTGCTCAGGGGTCCTGGGCGGCGGAGTCGAGGCTCCCTTCGGCTTCGCCGAAGGCTCCTTCCTCCTCCTCCTGGCTTCAAGGGCTTCTTGCTGCAAGTTTGGGAAGAGACTTCCAGCACGTCCACAATCTTTAAATCACACCTCAAGTGCTGAAAGCACCATCCCAAAAAAGAGCGGTCCTACAAACCATTCGGACAACATTTAGCCGATTTGTATGGGTCCATAAGCTCTGCCCCGCACTCCTCCCGGAGACCCTGACAAAGGCAGAAGAAAGTGCGCGCATCTGGATCTTCCCCAAGCTTTTGCGGGCCGTCGCCAACAATTCCTTCCCTGATTTTGGGGATGCAACTTACCATCCTGCCTGAGACTGCTTGTACGCTGCAGCGTACTCATCCTGCGCCAACGGAGGGTGCAAGCTTTAGAGCCTATCGACCAGCGCTTCTTAAGCTCGCATGTTGAACCGAGGCAACGAGCACTGTTCGGGATCGTCGCCCGTCATGTCCCCGTCTTTGGACTTTAGGGCCTTTAGGGTGCCAGAGAGCTTCTTGAGACGGTCTCCGCTTTACTTGGGTGGAAAGTGTCCCCCCGCCCTCGCCCCGACGCATCCCATCCTACGACTCAGAAGCGAAGCGACGCAACAGAATCACCATGTTTTTTTCCGAAATTCGGTTTCCACTTCAGATCCTGAGCTCTTGTTGAGCACACTTTCGTAGGGTCGTTTAGGGCTTGGACGGCTACGAGGGGGCCTCGAAGGAAGTCAGCACGCGTGGTCTGCGGCCACGCGAGGAGGAAGATGGAACCGGAGTCAGCCACAGATCCTCCCAGGGCTGATACAGAGAGGACACACACACATACGACATCGGAAGGATCGGAGATTGAAGGCCTATTTGAGCCTGGCTGGGTGCTATGGAAGCCGAGGGCACAGCGTACGTTTTTCTTCTTCAGAATCGAAGACGAGGACGGGTTTGCCACTCCTCCTATTGAGGGCGGCCTAGTGAGGGCGGACAATCCCAAAGCAATGCTCTTGAAATCATACAGACAAATTACAGAGAACGAGGCCCGAATGCCACAACCAAGATTTGTGAAAGCCGTGATGAGGTTGCAGGGATTGCAGGGTAAGGCCATTGCACGGTTAGAATACTCTGAGTGTTGCAGTCTGGAAGCTCACTAATGTTTTAAGCCCTCGAATCACAGCAGGCCTCCAGCACACGTCGCAACCCGGATGCCATGGAGCTGTGCAAGGACCAGGCTGCTGGTGGGCGGCAAAGCTGGTGGATGCGGGGGGGGGGGGGGGGGGGGGGGGGGGGGGCTTTCGGGCTCGAGTTGGGGGGAGGCCTTGGGGGGAGACTTGCGTTGCTTGCGTTGGGGCCCTGGAATTTCAGAGCAAACTTAAAGGGGTCTGTGCCAGGTGGAAGAGCCACTTGCAAGTGCAAGCGCCTTTGGGAATAAGGGCAGCTTGAGCATGCAAACGTTCTGGTTTTTGCAGATCAAGATCCTGGCGCGAGGTGCCCCAACTGATCAAACCTTCGTGTAACCTCTTCACTTGATACTGTGAATCCAAACACCCAAGCACCACATTCATGACGCCCCATACCCTTCCCTTCCCAGAACTGGTTTTGGTAGGCTTGAAACCGATGCGTGGAAAATCGTGTCTGTGCTGTCTGAGGCTGCCCCCGCGTCAAGCGCTCAGCCGAATGCTATGAAGGTCCCTGAGCCACACACATCTTAAGCTCTGAATTTCTGGGCGATTTTTTCTCCGGTTTTGGCAGGTGTTCGGGGAGTTGAGGGTTCCAGGATTCAAAGCCCTCTAGGCAGGGGATGTCAGCCGGGATGCGCAGTTTTTTTGCTCCATCGCAGGCGGACGTCGCTGTCAAGCAATCACCACCTGGCTGCAGAGTTGAGGCTGTTCGGGCTTAGGTTCTGCACTACATGCAGATTTTGCCAAAGGATCCGCTCCTGGAGTTTGGGGCTAGAGAGCTAGGGTCAGGGCACTGGAGTGATGGGCTGCAGCCGCTAGGCCCAAGCGCTCCCCGACCATCCCTCTTAGCCTTAGCAAAAGCACAGCCTGGGCCAACTGACCACAGAATGCCTCTTCGGCGCCCAACCCGCTCGAGTCGGTGAAGACATGGAAGCCTCCAGAGAAGTTTTCAGAACATTCAGGGGCGTAGAAATCTGAGAGGAACGTGAAGAACGAAGCCTTTATGCTGCTCTGCTCTGATTCCCTTCTAAAGGCCCATATTCTATGCGTTGCAGCTTCGGACCGCGCTGAACTGTTTCTTTGGAGAGCCTTTGATATGATGGAGCCAGCCATTACATAATCCAATACATGTAAGTCAACCATCTCGTCTAGGCTTTCGGGAAAGCATGCTGTCGACAGTTCGGCTTGGGTTGACATGAACGTGAGCATGTCGTGCAATCCAGATGTGGCCAATGCAGCCCACGAAAGCCGAGCCCTCCCCCGCTTCCCCTGCCCAACCAGAAGAATTCCGGGCGCCGAGCTCAATGGCTGACCCTCAAGGAGGCTCTCAACACCTGCGGCTTGAAGTGAAAACTGCGCTTCTGCATGGCATGCCTTGCAACACGCACACGCACACGCACGCGCACGCGCACGCGCACGCGCACGCGCACGCGCACGCGCGCGCGCGCGCATACACTTTCTTGAACAACTTCCATGCTCTGCCTTCCGGGAGATCTCGCTGGTGGATGAAGATCTGCCAGGCAGTGGGGTCTTTGGGTGGGGTCTCTCACGGGGGTGTGTTTTGGGATGCTTTAGGGCTTGGGGTGTCAGCCCCCAATTCCCAACGGATGCCACCCATTAGGAAGCATGCAACGAGAGGCGAAGGGCTGCCTGGCACGGAGATCCGAAAACCTTTGTTGAAGCGACATCTGAAGCAGTTGCTCAGGGACAGACCTACGCCGCATGCCTTACAATTCCACACCCTAGTCACCCTGCGTGCTTCCCGAAACAACCAGAACCCTTCAAGCCTTGGAAGATGCCCCCAAAAACTGTTCTCAGACCGCCGACGACCACAAACTTCAAAAACCAAACCTAAGCCTTTACATCGACTTGTCAACCCATACTACGCCCGGAAGACGGTGAAATCGTAGACTCTCTAAGCGCGCATCCGAAGCACAACTCCGAGATGATTCGTGGACAAAGCTTTGAGCTCTGTGCAGACACCACAAGTGCCCTAAGAAAGCAGAACCTGACACGGGAGAAACCTACTGCCACTGACGGCCTTGCCACCGCGAGAGTTGGCCATGGGGTGATCAATGGGCAGGGCGGCTTCGAGAAAGCCATGCCTAGCAGGAAGGCTTCGATTGGAGAGTTTGGGGGGCAGAGAGGAGAATCGGACTGTCCTTCGTTTCGTTCGGTGATCCGTGTCGCTGTGGACTCTTGCAACTGCGTGCTCGAGGTGTGTAACTACCCCAGCACACTTTGCTGGCACTGATCTGGGCCGTTTTCGATTTCCTAATAAGGGTCTGCGGCACGGCCGCTCCATCACAAAGCGGCCATCTTGGCCAAAGGCGTGAGCCCTAAAGACTTCTGCGGCAGGCCGCTAGTTGCTCTTCTGCTTTTGTTGTTGTAAGGTGTCTGTCGGGTCTCGGGCTGCTCAGCGTTGCGAGCAAGCCAAGAAAGTTGAATTCTGGTCGCTCTGGAACCCTGAGGACGAGGAAGGCTTCGAAGTGACACCCAGATCTGATTTCAATCCCAAGCCAGTCTCAAGCTCCCCCATTGCCAGTTGCCCAAAGCCCGTCCCACTTGCCACTCTCTTTCGGCAAAGGTGCTGCCCGTGCCACTCGACCACGGTGCCAACACATGGGGCGTCTGTGATGCGATCTCCTGGCACAAGGCATGACATGGGGCTTGTAAGTTTAACAGTGTTTGGGGGTTTTTCGGGCCTGAGTCTGGGGAGAGGCAAAGAAACCCAGTTCTCTGAGCATCTTCTGAGCACCCCCCAAATGAGAGCAGGGCCCGGAGGAGACGGGAACCCCACTGCGGCGCATCTGTTGAGCTCGGGTCAAATCAGGCCGGCGCGACTGCCAGGAATCCCTTGGCAGGAAGGGCTTTCGGAGCTCATCCCCGAGTTTCATGGGGAAAAAAGGAGGATCGGGATTTGGATATGTTATGCTATGCTGGTTGTGCGTCTCTGAGGTCGCTCGAGCATCCTGCATGGCAATGAAAACATCTGCCAGGAACTATGGAGGGAATCAAAACAGCAATCATGGTCAGCTAACGATCCGCTCCTAGATGCAACGAGAATTCAGCAAAAGCAAGAGCGACCGAGGGCCAAGACTTCTTTCAGTAGCGCCAAAGCCCTTTCCCTTGCCTGCACGTGGGCAGCTCGTGGAAAGTGTGGTGCTTGCTTGCGGTTCCAGTTATTCTACAGAGCCTTATTCGAGGGTGCCCTTAACGGAATGCTATCGAGAATTGACCATCGATTTTCGATAGATGACCTACAGTGCAATGCAGTAAGAAGGCTGAAAGCGACGTGCTGAGAGCCCAAACCTTTAAACCCTGCAGATCCTCAGAGAACTCCTAGTGCTTCCAAGTGCAGGGAGGAACCCCCAGGCAGGAAGCCGGGGTCAGGGATTGGCGGGGAATTTGTCGGACCCCGACAAAGTTCGCACTCAAGGCCGTAGCAAGCTCCCTGAAAGCTAAGAGGTCGAAGAGCTCAAAAGAGCTCCACGCAGGCCTTTGCTCATGGGAGACCAGCCCCAGGCGCCCTCAGACAGGGTTCAAAGGGTTTGAGGTTCTTTGGGGAGCTTCCGGGTTCATGTGGTCCCCAAGAACCAGGCAAGTGTGGGTTTCAGCGAGCCGAACTGTTGGTTGGAGGGGGTTGTTCGGCGCCGAGGGTTCATGCCCACACTTTTATCTTTGCCACTTGAGCAACCCTGAAAGACTTCAAGGCTTCGTGGCTTTCAGTCTTGTGGAGGAAGAAGCTCGAGGTTTCGTGGAGAGGTCGAAGGGGGCGATGTAGTGCAAGACTTGTAAGGGTTTGTGTCGAAGGGTCCCGATTCAGGCACCTGAATTCCGATTATAGAGATAGAGAGAGAGAGAGAGAGAGAGAGAGAGAGAGAGAGAGAGAGAGAGCGAGCGAGAGAGAAAGAGCGAGAGAGAGACAGCGAGAGAGAGAGAGAGAGCGAGAGCGAGAGAAAAGTTGGGGGCCAGTATTGAGCTGACTTGGACCTTCCGACTTCAGAACCGACTCAGTTGCGGCGCGGATGCTGCGTTGAAGTCTCGAGTTGGGATTCGCTGCGGCTCGGGCTCGGAAACTGAAACTGAACCAGAAAGCCGCTCCCCAGTACTTCTTTTGCTACGATTTAGAGGTTCTAAAGCAGCGGGGGTTCAACGGGGGCCTCAGGGCTTTGGATGCTGAGATTTTCAAGCGGCCGGCACCCCCTTTGCGCAGCGCAGCAAGCCCTCCCCATTCAGTTTCGGCTTCTGCCCTCCAACAGTTCGAGTCGAGAGGCCAACATGACATGGTCGAAGAATCCCATTTCCCATCCACCTCGGCAAGTTTATGGCTTGGAGATGCTTGGAGATGCTTGGAGGGCTCCGAGGGCTTTCAGGGTTTTGACTGGAAGCTGGAGGGCACAAGGCTTCACGTGAAGTGTAAAGGAAACGATCGAACCCATCGTCAGCGAAATGGGACCCTGCTATCCCTTGAGTTATGAAGAGCTACTTTCTCGGCTCTGCAAGCTGGAGAATTTATGCCTTCGGCCGGTGTCTAGCAGCAGGTCGAATTCAAACCCCGAACCCAACAACCAGTTGTTAAGTGGAAGTATGGCTTGAGGACCTTCCGTGGCAGCCGGTCCTCAAAGCCACGAGACCACAAAGCTACTCTACATCCCAAACTCCGAAGAGTCCTTGCAAGAACGGAATGTGGTGAGGAGAGAGCATCCCAGCTGCCCATCCCCCCCCCCCCCCATACACTTCCCCACTTCCTCCATTCCTTATGAGAACCCGCAAGACATTGAAGAAAGCGGAGCTCGACTTCTCTCAGCTGCCGGCCGCCCGTGGGTCCAAACTTCCCTTTCCCTGCAGGAAGCTGCTTCAGCCCCTTTTTGGGTCTTCCTCTTTATGATTGGAGGTTTTTTTTTTGGGTCTGTGTGTGTGTGTGTGTGTGTGTGTGTGTGTGTGAGTTGTTTTGTTTTGGAGCCCGAGACTTCCGATTATGATGTCTTCAACCTGACACCCCCCCCCCCCCCCCCCCCCCCCCCCCCCAACAAAAAAACAAATGAAACACACACCACCCTTCCAGAGCCCGGTAGACTCTGAAAGAACCCCCCCCCCCCGCCCCCGCCCCGAAACGGCGCACGCTCAAAAAACATCACGCGCAGAGACAGAGCAGAGAGAGAGAGGGAGAGAGAGAGAGAGACAGACAGACAGACAGACAGACAGACAGAGAGAGAGAGAGAGAGAGAGAGAGAGAGAGAGAGGAGAGAGAGAGAGAGAGAGAGAGGAGAGAGAAAAACCCTGAACCCTAAACTTGGTTGGTCCGCTTCGTGGCTCAGCTGGGGCTTCATTCACTTCGAGGGTTCTCGAGAGTTTTTAAGACATCATGGGACGCTTCTTTAATGTAGGGGAGGCCTACTTTCGGAGCTTCGCTTCAGGTCATGCACAGCCCTCTGCAAACATCTCAGCGGGGTGGGCCTTTGCCCTTCTTCCCGGCACCTTTGGGCTTTGAGGCCTCCAGGGAGGGAGAGCTTTTTTCGGGGGAAGAGCTTCTCATCTCTTGGGGGGCCTAGAAATGCGATTCGGGCAGAGCTTGGCCAAAGAGGATGATAAGGAGACAAAGAGGGGACTGCTGTCCGACCAGCTCATGTATAGAAGCGAGATTTTGTTTGAACCTCTGCCAAATTGTTTGAACTGAGCGCTAAGGACAACTTCCTTTCAACACCATACAAACACACCCTGGACTCCTACACCCTACGAGCAAAGGAAGAAGGAGCGCGCACACATCCTCAAGCTTGTGATTGTCTTACGTATATAGCCCTTTGCGATGTGCTGTGCCTTGGGCTGGGTGGCCCACATCATCCCCAACCAGGTGGCCTCTGCTTGCATCTCTTCATCCTGCTGCAGATCCTTCAGCGCCTGATGGGATGAGGATGAGCAGCTGCACAGTCACAGAGGCCATGCCCCAAAAACATCAGAGCGCCAGCAATGGCAAAATGTCGCAACAATGACTCCCCTAAAAATGCGAGGTTTTCGTGTGACGCCCACGGTGGCCTCATCCGCTGCACTCTGCTCCGCTTTCTGCTTCGTCCTGGGACGTCGAAAGCAGCCGGAGGCAGTGCTTCCAGTTCCAGCATTCCATCGCTGCAGGAACGTTTGTTTAGAGGCAAGGGGGGTAGAAGCCCCGACAGGAGCAGCAAGGCAAGCACCCAGAGAAACCAAGAGTTAGCTGAGAGTCTCGCCCCCCCGCAGCACACAAGAAGACTTCCAAACAAGGAAAGAGACCCTCAACGCACTGACAGCAAGGCACGCCTGAGCCGGGACTTCACCCAAACCCTCGAGTTGTGCTCATCCCAGCACCAAACAGAACACAAGAGGCTCTCCCTTCGAAGCCATTCACGTCAGTAAGACACGGCAAGCCGTTAGAGCTCGCGAACCAAAGCGCCAGGAGGCCCTGGCATCTTTGAAGCCTTCCCAGAAGGTCCCTCCAGGTCCCTGAAACTGAGGTCTGAAGCTGCCATAAGCGCCATAGAGCCCACAAAGCCAAGCTCCGGGCGGGCACAGGTGCCCAGCCCAGGCCTTTGGAGCGCGCTTTGTGTTTTTTTTGTTTTTTGCTTCTGCTGCTTTCTCCTTTTTGATGTTGGAATCATGTTGGATGCTCTGGAGGACATGCTGGAGGACGTGTTGAAGGGCCTTTGAGGGCTGAGAGGCCGTCCGGCTCAGGGGGGCCTCGCCTTTCTTTTTCTGCGTTTCTTTCATTTAAGTCTCTGATCCTGTTGCGACTCTTGTGGCTCCTGCACTGGGGCTACTCCAGGGTTGCGGGCTTGGGGCGGACGCTGGTAGGAAGTCGACAGCCGTGAGGACTAAGACTGTCCCGATCCGTTGCTCTAACAGGGCTCCACGGTTTAGCTCCTGAACATCCAAGCCTTTTCAAATGGTCCAGGCCCAGTTCTGAGAGCACCGGAACCTCCCAAGAGGGGACGCCTGACATCCTGAAGTTCTAGACCCGCAAACTCTGCAAAATGGAGTTCAACAAAGATCGGCCCACAAGAGCCATCTTTGCCAGCCCTGAATAGGCAAACGCCCAAAACACGAAAAAACACCTAAAGCCTGAACCTGTCTGGGGCACTCGACCCGCTCGCCCCACTCGCCCGGCAATGCGGCAAGCCTCGTTGGAATTTGTTTGTTCAGGGCATCCGTTTAGGTTTTCATTGTTTCATGGATTAGGTGTTAGGGCTTTAGGGCTGTGCAGTTAGTCCAAGGCTTTCAAGTGTGACAAAGGGTTGATTTGTTCCAGAGCTTTCGCCGTAGATGGTTGAGGATTGGGCACAGGGTTGAAGTGCTTCGGCTTCGGCATCTGGCAAAACAAATGAGAACACTTTTATGTGATATTGAAAGAATTGCATTCGTGAATCCAGGAAATATTTGGTTGGGTTTTCGCTTTGGGATCGAATGGCATGTCCATGCGCATTTAAACTCCTAGTCTCTTCGCCACAGATGTCTGAACCCTCATCCAAAAACACGCTGTAGAAGTGCTGCGAGGCCCGGCGTGACAGTGCTCTGGTAGAGGCCCTGGACCTCCAAAGAAGCAACAGCTTCAGGCAGCATCGCTGCGTGGAGGCACACAGCTTGGGCTTTGAGGGCTTGGAGCTTTTTTGGAAGAGGGCTTCGCGTGGAGAAGCTTCAGGACCTTGTAGGCCCTGCGTCGCAGTTTAGCTTGGGTGTCTAGTTGGGCTGAGCTGAGCTGAGTTCGTTCAATGTCTCGCTGTGTATGGCCAGCTGCTCTCGCAGGTGCATAACTCAATTGAACCCTGGTTTGCATCTTTCATGCTTCGGTTCTGCACTGGTAAAATAGAGGGTGGGAGCTCCATACCCCCTCCGATAGAAACATGTGGGACTGTGCTTGGGACTAGAGAGGCAACTAAGCTTGCCCGGCTGAGTCCAACTGCGTACGCTGTAGTTTGCGGCGCGCGGCAGTGGTGCCAAATAAGGGTCGCAGCAGTCTGCCCAGCCACCCAAGTGCCCCCCTCAAGCAAAGCGCCCTCATCTTTCAATGTGGCACAACAAGTCCAAAGTCGCCAAATGACTCTACGAGCCGCTAAAAAATCTTAAAGCCCTTTCACCCTGCCGTCCTGCTTGGTGTCGTAGACCTGGGCGCGTCCGACACTTTTGTCATCGCCATGTTGTGGCTGCAGAGGGGGGGAGCATATGGGTTCTCCCCAGAGCGACGGCAAGATCCATCTACTGACAGCTGTCAATACTGTGGTTTAACTTATCAGCATATCGCGGCGGGATAGCGTGGAAACAAGCACAGAACACACAAACAACAAATTGTTTTTGAAAAAAAACGCTGTGCTGACTGTTCCTTGCCCTACCCTGAATACATGCAACTTGTGTCAGAACTCCAATTTTTTTGTGGCCTGCTGCGGGCTTTTAGACTGCTTCTTGGCCTAATCCCGGTCTCGGCTGCACGGTCAAAGTTATTGCATTCTGTAATTCTCAAGAGCGGAGGCCGCGTGGTGAGCTGCTTGGCTTGGCCTATGACCATTCCTCCTACTATAGCGTCTTCTCTAGGGACATCCCGGACCAGCAGTGCGGTCCGTGCAGCCTGTATGGTGTGTGGGGCTGAGTGCCATGGCGGGTCCTAAACGGCTGGCTTCTTTGGACCAAGGAAGCGAGCATGCCCTACGCCCAAACATGAAAAACCTTGCACCCTTAAACCTCCCAAACGCCCGAACCCTCTAAACTCTCCAGGGTGCAGACGGTCTCACCCTTCTGCAGATATCTCTTGATGATCCTCATGACGAGGCTGTTCCTCAGGGGCAGTGATTTTGGCTAAGAGGATGCTCTGAAGAGCAGGATTCACGGTGCAGCTGCTTCATGAACGCACGTCTGTTCCAAGGGCTCGGGCCTTGCCAGCTGAGGCTTTTGGGAGGGGGAGGCCAAGGGGAATTGGAGTGGGGGGCGTCACCAGTTCAACACCCCAACCGCCCGTCCCAGACCGCAAGCCCGAAGAGCTCCGCTCCAGATGCTTAACACGTACATTTGAGAGCAGCACATGGCAAGGTGCACATTTTTTGACCTGCATTGCAACTCTTAAAGTGCTAAGCCCTGCAAAGCCCCAGTGCAAGCCCTAGTCAGCGAGGCAGCGACAGCTGCGTCTTCGGAGTTATCGCCTGAAGAGCATCTCACCCCCCTAAAGCTTTTAAAAAGGGGTTTTGGGGGGGCTTTTGTAATCTTTCAAGGGCTGCTTTGCTGCCCTGCCGTGAGTCTCCGTCCTCATCCCAAACCTACCCAAACATCACCACTCCCCCCCCCAGCGGAAGACTGTACGTTCTGTTCATAGGATTTCATGCACCTTGCGATTTGTGACTATCTCAGTGTTTTCGAGATTCGAGGTGAGGGTCAAGAAATTGCCCTGGGTAGCTTGAAAACCCAATCGCATGTCAAGGAAACTGGGACTGGCTGCACTTCTCTGAGGCAACAAAATATGTAGAAGCAAACGCTGTTTAGTGATGCGTAGGCGAACGATGATCAGCTCAAGTCTTCACTCTGCAACGTGTTTCATGGGTCTGAGGGCTCAGCAGGATTGTCGGCTGGGTCCTGGTCAGCCTGGCTGGACGTTGGCTCGTTTGGGGGCCAAGAGATACCCTGAATCCATAGTGGTATCTGGGGAAGAATCTCCCGTTGTGGCTGGTCCCATCGCAAATTATGCTGAGATCTTCGTGTTCCCAGACTGAGCATACAAATCGGAATCCACAGTCTCGCCCTGGCAGTGGGGGTTGCCGTCTCAATTCGCCAAGACCTGTGAAGGCACAAGCCCTACGTCCCAAGCCCGCCATCAACACAAACCGTCAGTCCTCCACCCCGTGCATCTCCCCCCAAGCCCTGTGAAATCTCTTAATCCGCTGGATGCTCGGCTGCTGACCTTCGCCCGCTTCTCAGCAGGGCTCAAAGCCGAGGACTCAGCGCGGGGTGGTATCAAACACAGGGCTCTCAAAGGCATGAAGAAGGCCAACAGCTTTCAGAGTTTTTGGAGTCTTGTGCCAAACGCCCTGACACAACAGACTTGGCCGAGCCCCACCGCCCCCTCCCCCCGTTCCAAGCCCGTTTGTCAGAAAGCATGTTTGCGAGGAGAGATTCGTGGTCGCCAGACACTCAGGTTTGTCGTAGGTGTGCAGTGGCCGTAGGCGGAGCAGCTCAGTTGTGTGAGCCAATGCTTGGAACGTGAGCATTTTCGACTGCGGGGCCCGTGTTGTCGATCTTTGCTTCGTTACGATCTCTGTGTGTTGCTTCGGCGGTCACCGAAAAGCAGCAACGCAAGTCAAGCCCCCGATGCCTTGCAGAGGAAAGCGTGAAACTAAACCCTGCCAAGAACAACATCGGCTCCTAGGGTCGTCGTTGTCCGTCAACATGGGTCCAGGGTAGGCCACGCATTAAACCTCCAAGTCCCAAACCCCGTGAACCAAGCTCGGGACAGCTTTCCGCTTCTGGCCCCCAGTGCCCTGCGAGATCTATGGCGGTAGTCCACATCGAAACCGTTCGACATCAGGTTTGGGTTTCTAAGAGCACTTGAACCCAAGGTTCCATCCCACCTCGCAAGGCCCCCAAAAAGCTACAAATTCTGCTCCCAACCAACCCTGGCTTCCTGCCTAGCTCGTCTCGTGGTGTGACTTGGGGTGTGTGCGTGTGTGTCTGTGGGTGAGTGGATGGAAGGATTCCCCTGTTGCAAGGCGTTGAGGAGGCTCAATCGACAACAGCCAAGCCCTAGGAGATCTGCCTTAACACTTCCAAACAGCCCGAGGCCTCAAGGGCCAAATCTCAAACCGAGAACACCTTGTCAACCTCACAACCTAAACAGCTCCTTTGCAGCTCAAGGTTTTTCGGGTCCTGCAACGTGGCTTCCACGAGTTCTTGGTTGCCAACCAGGACCTAGCGTCGCGGCAGCTTCAGCCGATCTGCAAGACAACAACAAGACATCAACATCAGTGGTGTCAGCATGAACTTAGAAATTTCAAGTAAAAACCACGGGAACCCTCTGAGCCTGCTCTGCCGCAGACTTTTCGGCGGCCTGGGCGCTCATCGCATGCTTCGGAGAGAGCCCTGCTCGCTTAGCAAAGGGTTTAGGGTTTTTATTTCGCTGATAGGGGTTTGCTCCCTTTGCTCCCTTTTCTTGGCGCGAAGTAGGAAGGATGCACCCGCTACCCAAGAGCCTGACTTGTCGTTTTGGTCCAATCCTACGACTTACAGCGCAGCAAGTAGAATTTTCATGTCAGGCCTACACCCTCCATCTTGCGATGCGACACCAAAACGCAAGCCTTAGGACCCTCAAATCCTCAACGCTCTATAGGGTGCACTCTCCCACTGCAAGGGCCTTTGTAGCATTTAAGGGCTAAGGATTTTCAAGCACACGAAGCGTTTCTGCCCTGTCTCAAACCCGAGAACACGACGAGCCCTATCGCAGCTCAAGACAGTTGCGTGCAGCTCAAGCTAGACTGCCATTCTGTGTGTCGAGGATCCAACTCAGAAAGCTTCAATAACCTTTGATTTCACATCCCCCGGTTGCCAAACTGCGCACCTTGGCATCTGCGCAAACCTCGCCGGCATACTCAGCTCCTCGGGAGTCAAGACTAAGGCGACTAGGCCTGGGGTTTGGGTTCCGAGGTGATATCTCATGGTCATGAGCATATGGCTTTATGGCCTACGGTCTAGGCTTGTGATTAGGTGTGTTTCTTTCTATTAATACAAGAAATTAGACTTTGGCCGGCCCAGAACAATGATGGAGCGCAGAAAAAACCCGTTGTTATCCGCTCAATGGCTGGAGGTTTTGTGTGTTCAGGCAGGATGCTTGAAAGAGGGATGTTGTGAGATCAAGGGGTTTAGGGGTGTTGGGCATGCAGCCCGTTGTTCGCCTCGGCTTCCTGCCGAGAAGCGTCTGGAACAAGCAGACCCGGATCGGGCCTCCTTCCCCCTAACCTTCCCCCCCATGCCAAATCTCCCCTCTTTCCTCCTTTCCTGTCCTGGGGCCGGCCCGGCTGCCGAGGCGGCGCGCGCAAGCGTTTACAATTATCCGCTCAATGGCTGGAGGTTTTGTGTGTTCAGGATGCTTGAAAGAGGGATGTTTAGGGGTGTTGGGCATGCAGCATGACGAATCCGGGGCTTCTTTTGCCACGTCCGGCTAAACGGCGCTGCGAACAGAGTTTTCGCTTGCAGAACAAACGTGACCCAACGCAGCGTGGCTTGGGAGTGTTGCCATAATATCCGTTGGGGGAGATGACGCTTTTCATGCCCTGCAGAAAACATGCAAACACTGATGTAAAGGGTGGTCATGCGGCTCCGGCGGAGCATGTAGATCCTGAGCCCGAAGCCTCAACAAGCTCATCAACTGGATGGAGGCCGCAAAGCCTTTCCCCCCACCCCTCGTCCCCCTTTTTACAACCCTCATCTAGTATCCACTTGAAGAACTTCTCGTCCGTTCTAGAAGGACCTCAGGCTTGGTCCATCCATGCACTCCAGCTTCACGACGCACTGGTACCTCATGGAGCTTTGGGGTGTAGGGGACACCTCTAGTCCGCCATGGAGACCTTCTTCAACTAGGGGCTTAGCCGATGATGTCGGGAGGGGTGGGCTGGCATAGTTTCAGTTGGATCCTCAAGAGAGCCTCAAAATGGAAGTGCTGAATCCTTACGGCAAATACCCAGCAAGAGCTTTTTCTAATGGATCTTGCACTTCAGAGTCATCTATCATCGCCTTTTTGCGTTCGGGATCTGGGATTCAGGGACTTCGTAGGCTTTTGGGCCAGGGCTGTGGGTTTCGGATCAGTGCTTCGGGCTTCTCGGGCTTGAGCGCCTAGTCTCGGCCTTCTGGGGCACCGCGCTCGTTGTGGCGGAATCGGCTCCTCAACCGCGATTCGGCTTGAAATCTTTAGGTTCAGTGCTGTGATGTGAGCCCAAGAGCCTCTCAGAGGGTGCCCAGGATTCTGTTGGGGATGCTTTGAGGATTTTGAGGCTCCAAGCGGTTCGACCTTCCTCTTGGCAGGAAACTGGGCTTGTTCAACGGGACTATCGAACTCATATAGCATTGCCGCAAGGCCCCATGAAGAGCCAGAAAGCACGCCCCCCCCCCCCCCCCCCCCCCCCCCCCCCTCCCTCCCAAAGTCAAAGTCTGCACCTCGAGGCACCTCAAGACTCCAAACTGCGGCCAAGGCTCACTATGTACACCGCATCTTGCTTCGTCACCTGCGAAACGCTGCTGGGCCAGCACGGAAAGAGCGCTACATGCTACAAGGCTGCACGGAGCCCCAAAAGCTTGAACTTATCTCCAGCTGCCTCTAGCTGCTCTCCGATTGGGTCAACCTTCGTGCTTGGGTATGGCTTGCGTCCAGGCATGCTGCCGGCCGAACTCGAAAGGACCCTGAACCCACGAAAGACGAAGCGCTAAACCTAAATTCCTGAACCCAGAACTGCTCGAAAAACAAAACCTGAGAGAGGGCTGGTGTGAGGGCGCCGGGGTCTAAAGACTTTAAAGACTTGCAACGGTGTAGGGTCGGGACAGGTCGCCCGCAGTACTTCATAAGGAACTCGTTCAGCTTCGACCTGTAAGTGGAAGCTCGGCTTGCGCCCCAAAGCTGTCAAGGAAAGCAGAAAGGATCCAATTTTTCTGGGGATAAACGAATGAGGAGAAGCGCAAAACTGGGATGTCGGGCAGTGGGGGGATTTTTCTTGATGCCTTGAGGGGCCCCTTCTCAGGAGTCCCCAACCTCATACTCTGGGGCTCACAAGCCGCTGGAACCCCCAAAATACACCCCCCCCCCCCAAAAAAAAAAAATTAAAATAAACATAATCCTGACATTTCTTTGAACACCTCTTGACACCTCCCCCCTCCCCTTTAAGAATTCCAATTTTGCAACCTACGCTTGGCAAGAAAGCCCTGGGGCCGAGTCTTGGGGTCGCCTGCCGCCATACCGCTCCTGGAGAAACGGACGTGAGATTGCAAACTTTTCGGTGGGATTCAGGTTTGCTTCGGCTGTTGGGCCTTTTTTTCTGCCATTTCGGGGCGTCTCACTGTGCTTAGGGGGACTGTAGGGAATTATCGGTACAGGGGCTAGAGAGTCGGTGAGTTGGTTGGGTAATGTGTGCTTGGGGTTGCAACTCTGTAAAACTAAACCTTCAGGTGCATTGAAAGGCCTGTTGTGTTTTTCTGTCTGTCACTTTGACCATGCTCCAATCCTGATTGCCTGGGCGCAAAGCCGGCGGCTGCCACGGCGCGTTTGAGAGTCGGGCTTGTAAGAGGGTGTTTGTTTACAAGGCTTGGGGCTTGGGGTGTCCGGGTTGCAGGGTAGGGCTCTGAATTTTCAGCGTTTGGAGCTGATGAAGGTTCGCTGCCTCCATGTTTCAGGGCGTCGTCTTGATGGTTGTGTCATCTTGGTATCCAAACTGCTGCGCACAAACAGCCCGGTCATCACCTGAGAGCTTTAGATGACCGTCTGAAACCTCAAACCTACATACGCAGAAACATACTCCATGCATGGCCATGTTTGGGCAAGCTCGAGCCATCACGCGAGGGAAGACGGCCACCATTAGGGAGTTTGCAGGTAACCGCGAAATCGAGGCTTGCGATTCAGGTTTTCAAAGGTATGGGGCTATCTTCTTCCATGGTAGTCACATCTGTCACACATAAGATTGAACGCAATGGATGGCATTGTGGCACTCGGTGTGATGTGCACCTGCTTGGCCGGAACTGAAGCTTGGGCGGAACTGAAGAAATCATACCACAAGAAGGTGGCTGTGGCTTACAGGCCATCAAGAAAGGACTTTGGCAAATGTCATGCCTGTGAACATATTCCTTCATGCATTGTGCATTGTAATATAAATGATAATAATACGAAATATAGCATGCTAGATCTCGGTTCTTTTATCGACATCGTCGTCGGCACTGTCGTCGGAGTCACTCTCCCAAAGTCGACGTCCAGGCTTTTCCACCTGAATGCAATACGATCGAGTGCCCGCGCACCGATCTATTCTAATCCTAATCTCGCGCCCTCGTCTGTCAGCCCAATCGGCCTTCGTAATGGAAACGCTCTTCATATTGGAGGTTCCTCTGTAAACCACGGCGGCAAGTTAGCCACCTCTTTACACTCCAAAATGCTGATGCCCAGCAAACCAAGGGTCGAAGTTTCTACGATACTTCCTAACCCTGAACCGTTACCCCTAAACTCACCCAATCTGCACCGAAGGAGTGGGTGGGTGGGTGGGGTTAATGCAGAATCTTCTGCGACCTTTCCTGTGGCACTGGGCCGGTACTTTTGCCTGCCCCTTTGGCCAGCAAGCAAGATAAACCTGCTTGTCCGTTTGTTCTTGGAGAAGGCATTTGCAGGCAAGCCACAGCAGTCGAGAAACTGCCCCAAAACGCTCCACCTGCCGGCCCTTGGTTTTTTTTGGGGGTAGTGTCGAGGGAGGAAACTTCATCCATAACACGTGGGCTGATACGTCAGATGACCGAAACATGCGAGGACTCCTTCCCTGTCCTAGATGCCAAGCGTCGCAACAGCGGGTACAGCCCGAAGCCCTTGGATTGAGAAGGCCAACATTTTGGACTGAGTTTGACACTCTGAGAGCACGTGCAGAAGCACTACCAAACCACAGGCGCTCAAAAGAATCACCCGGAGAAACTTGCACCGTCCCAGTGAACTGGCTGAACCTGGAACTGAATTGAGCCAGGCGGCGTAAAGCGGCTGCGGCAGGCCTGTGCGAGCAGCCGCCTGCCGTAGCGGCCGTAGCGGCGGCCGGCTGCGCCCGCGCAACGTCTGCCGCACCGGCATGTGCTGCACGGAACCTTTAGTTGCAGAACATGGGTTGTGGGGCCAATTCTTCATTGTCTGAGCTTGCTGGGAGGAATGCGACGAAGGCCCCCAGCTTGGAAGCTCCGACGCGATTTGGCCATTGGCAGGCTGTGCAGGTTCTAGGGCTTCCAGTACTTCTAGGCTTACCGGCATGCTTCAAAGGCAAACCACTACACCCTGAAACCTGATGCCCTGATGTCATAATCCATCCCAGCAGAACAAAGCAAGAAACAGACCATGCCTTGCAGGTTTCTTCCCCCGGCTTCACACATGGCAAATAGACGCCCGATCTCAAATGACTCGAACCTGCATTGGCCGGGGGTGCTTTTGCTTCACCTGAGCGGCTCTGAACCTTCTTAGTCCGCCACATGCCAGCTTGTGGCTCGGATGGAAAACTGAGCTTGGTGAAACTTGGGCATCATCAACCTCTGACGCCAACCCTCGCCCTGCCACGCGCAAAATCCATGTGCAGAGCATTTGAGAAAGAATCATTTGAGTCTGGCGGCTAAGTGTTCTTGCATGCTTCAGCAGTTCAGAAACACCTAGCTTGGTCTCAGTCGATGCGGATGAACAACAAGTCCGGGGGGTCCTCTGCTCCTCTTCTGACAGTGGCTCCTGAGCACGTGCCTTGCGGCACCTTGCCCCGCACCTCGACTGGCACCTCCTCCTCGTCCTCCTCAGAAGGCTCTGGAAAAGCCTTGGGCAACTTTGAGTCGGGGTCGAGGGCCGCGACCAATTCTGGGTTGGTGCCGAACTCGAAGGCCAGGTCAAAGGCGGTCTTGCCGCGGGAATTCTTGAGATCGCGACGGGCTCCGGCTGTCAGGAGAGTCCATGCGGCGTCAGCTGCCCCCCCTAGGACGGTGAACATCAGGGGCGTGGCTAGGTGGTGATGGTAGCCCATCCTGCATAGCCTGGTGCGTGAGAGCCCACGTTTGTACTTCCAGCCCGAGAAGTTGCAAAGCAGCCACATTGGCCAAGCCTTGGTCTTCGCAAAGTCCAACTGTTCGTTCATGTCTGCTTTCGCATCGAGCAAGATCTGCACCAACTCACTGGAACCTGCAAAGAGCATGAAGCTGTAGTGAAAGCATTGCTCGACATTCTGCTTCGGGCGAAGCCGCAGAAGCTCCCTCACGGCGTTGCCTGAACAGTTGAAACATGCCAGCTGCAGTACGCTCACGCCCAAGTTCTGCTTCAAGGTGTGGTCCGCTCCCCCATTGACTAGAAGGCGAACGGTCTCGGCATCGTTCGAACCAGCCGACCAATGCAAGGCCGTGTGCTTGTGACCATCTTTTGCATCCACCTTGGCATGGGCAGCCAGCAGCACCTTGATCACCTCGTTGCTCCTAAAGCATGCAGCTATGGCAATGGCGTGCATGTTCTTGGAGAAGAAGACTTGGGGCTTGGCTTTGCGAATCCGGTCGTTTGCGTCAGCATTTCGGCGAAGCAACGCGGACACCAGGCTGGCATTGCCGCTCATGGCAGCGTAGCACATCGGCGACCAACCTGCTGCATCTCTCTGTTTGAGGCTGCTAAAGCCGTTTTGGTGCATGAACTTTGCCATCAGTAGTTCTTCCGGATCAGGGAATGACTCAGGGGAAAACCCCGGGATACCGAGCTCGACGCAATCCACACCTGAGCCCTTCAGAAGAAGGGACTGCTGGTTGTAGAGGAACCTGTATTCCGTCAAGTTGTTCTGCTCCAAAAGCAGCAACAATCTGCGGCGGATCAGCTGCAAAACAATGTTGGCAACTCTCTTCCGGTCCAAATCCACTGAGAACCGTCCTTCTGCTACTGGTGGCTCGCAAGTCGCTATTTCTGTCAGGAACAACTGCGATGTTTCGCTCTCGATCACGATCACTGGACCCCCGTTCAGTGCGAGCTTTCGCGCTGTGCGCTCTGCCCGGCACCACCCGCGCTCTTCCCATGTTTTTTGACACAGAATCTCTCCGGACTCATGACCCAAGCCGGGGCAAAGGATCACGAAGTGCTCGCATCTGGTCACATAAGATGGAATGCAGGCGATAGCATTGTGGCGCTCTGCATGATGTTCATCTGCCTGGGGGCAGCTGAAGAAATCATACCACAAGAAGATGGTAGTAGCTTGCAGGTCGTCAACAAAGGAAATTGCGCTGTGGCCATACATAGCTTCATGATTCACCGCGGGGGAAATGTAGGTCATGCCGGCAAGCATATTCCGCAGCGCATTTTGCAGTACCTTGAGCTGGTGGCTGTACGGATCTGGATGCTTCCTACCAAGCCACTGGTGGGAAACGAAAATTGCCTTACCCATGCTTTCGTCGAATACCACAACTATGCCTTGCTCGAGCAGCTCCTCGTGCGGCTTGACTTGCTGCATCAACAGTAGCTTTCGCATCGGGACCGTGTACATGGGGAATGGCGTGCCCTCTTCTGTCATCGAGGATCGTTTCTGCGGATTTTGCAGCAGAGCCACGGCGAAGGCTTCGAGGGGGCTTGCGCCCCCACTGCCACGCCGCATGCAGCTCCACATGCTGCGATCGGCCTCTTCCCACAAACAAAAACGCACGCTGTTCCTCGACCTTCGGTCAGGAAATGCACGTGCTGAATTACTAGTACATGAGACGCAAACGTCCACAGGCACCAAAAGGCGTACGGGCGATCAGCCCCTGCGAACTATGTAGTTACGCAGCAAGAGCCGCAATTGCCGCAACGCCCACATGCATTCCACCAAGTCGCAGGGTTTCGGGGTTCTACATGAAACTTCCATTGGAGCTGGGGCTGCGCTACACAAGCCACTGCGCGAGTGCATTTTCAAAAGAGTTTGAGGCCGGCTCTTGGCTTTGGAGGAAAGGAGCTGAAAAACGGAAGGGGGGGGTGCTTGCAGCCTGGGCACAGAAGCTGGCAGCTTCCACGGGAAAGCAGGCTGAGGCAGATTTGGATGCACGCTGCTACTGCTTCGTGGGTGCTTGTGATAGGGCTTGGGGGTCTCAGGAGTAGAGTGGTCGGGTTTCGGTGTCGGGCTCTGAAGTTTTCAGCGTTTGCCTGAGCTCGAGCCAACGGACGAGTGAAGACATTGGCCAATATCCGGACTAGGGCCTCCATGTGCAGGGTGGTGGCCTTGTTTGGCGGCTGCGAAGTGGAGCTCCCAATCCGGAAAGCTGCGGCTACGAAGTCTTGGGCTTGGGACTGACGTGTTGAAGCATCTGCACAGGAAGCGGGATGCAGCGCTTTTGTGCAACTATGAGCAGGGTCGCTTGAAAGCATGTCTGCTGAGGACTTAAGGATGACCTTCACGCCACTCTTGCAGGCAAACACTCTAAAGCTCTTAAACTCTTGAACCTCTCCAGACACTGTGAACCATTCTATGAGTAGCTTGGGGATCCTCCCCAGTCTGATTGTCCGGCTTTGCCGGAGCTGCTGGGGGCCCTGTGGCTCAGCGCCTCAGCGCGCTTTGCTCTTCTTCGCCGCTTTTCCTTTGCTGCCCTTCTTCTTCCGCCTGGGACCATGTCAGGCTTTTGGGCTGCGGCTTCTGTTGCAAGATGCCGCCCGGCAGCCACCCTTGCTCCACTGTGGTTTCAAAGCTTTGTGTTCAGAGCTTAGGGTGTGCTGCTATGTAGGCTCTTGGGGACCTGAACTCAAGGATGCAGGAGGCTTTAGGTTTCGAGAAAGTCTCTGGGTCTGGGCAGCTCTCCATGCTAGTGTGCAGCTTAAGGGGTTCTACAACTGGACTTCGTACTGCGTGGAGGCACGAAACCCACCGCTGCAACTCGACTTGGAGCTTAGGACCAGCTGTTCAGGAATATTCGGCTCAGCCTCTCCATCTTCTGCTTGAAGATGCGCTCGCCGATCGTCAACGGGAACTCCTCTTGGTGGCTGTGTTTGGAAGTAGACTAACATTTGCCAAAATTTAAAAACAGTTCGACTGGCTCCAATTCTCACCGAGGAGGCTCTTCATCGTGCCCGTTGCTTGATGCCGCTTCCCGTCTGGGACCGCCTTGACTGCAGCGCTCGTTGAATGGTTGACCCGGCTGTCCTCCGATCCGAGCTCCTGTTGTCCTTGCTCGGAACTGACCGCGTGCATTTGCATGGCGGATTGGGCTCCGCCAACGTCCGTTCACGGCTCAAGACGATTTTCAAAGAGTTGCGGAAAAGCGTGCTTTGAAACCCAGTACGACGCGACACAAGCCACGCCGCCGCCAGAGCAGTGTTGTTGTTTTACCATTTGCGCCGCTTCGTGATGCACGCGGCCGTGTACGCTGCCAATGCCGTTTGCGCCGCCTGCACGTACCGCATATTCTACCCCTCTGCCATTGTAGCGGTGCGCTTACGCCGCCTGCAGTGTGGCGATCGGGCGGTGCGGCGCTGCACGGATGCAACGCAGCCACTGGCTGGACCTGCACTCGATTTTCTTGCAAGATGCCAGAAATCCCCAAACACCAGAAACGCTACTACAACGCTTCCACAGCTTCTTCCCTTCCCCGTCTTCCTTACGCTCAACTAGATCCTCCCAACGAACTCTCGGCCGCGAATCTGCAGAGGCTTTGAACAGCGGCTCCGAATAGAGGCTCCTCTGCGTCCCGCTGCACTCGGCGGCTGCGCTTCGCGGACGCCCGGGCGCGGAGCTGGGGCGACAAAGGGGGCTGAGGCTCGCAGTCATACACCTAAGAAGCCTGCCTTCTTGAAAAGGGGGGGGGGTCCTCCATCTTCCGTGAGTCACGAGAAAGGAATGAATAGACTCTGAGATGTGGCTAAGGACGATGGGGGAAGATTGAGGGGACAATTCATTGAGGCAAAAAGGACTCGGGGGTCTTGTGGGACTCAGGGCTTTGGCATCTCTGAGGGACGGTAGAAGGTCTTTAACGACCCCTCTAGAGACACATGGACACTTGGCAATTGGGAGTTTTGACTTACAAACCTCAGCGCAGAACACACACCTTCTTTGTCCCCGAATGCCCAACAGCAAAGACAGGCAGGCTGAAAACACTCAATGTGGCGGGGGGGGGGGAGGGGGGAGGGGCAAGTTTCGGGTACCCTAAACGAGTAATGCAGAACTTGCTGTAGCAGGGACCCGAGCAGCTCCTGCAATGTCGATTTCAACCCTCGTGCGTTGTAGCTGCATGTAGCTGAAATCAGACCATTGCCTAACTTCGAGAAACAGAACACCCTGGCCTGCTCTCGCTCGCGCTCCGCCTTCTCCGCCTCTCTCTTGGCTTTAAGGCGCGCCCTGGCCGGAGAAGTCCAGAGTATCAACCCCCAGACTCCCCCAGACTCAGATTTTTTCCCAGGAACGTACTTATACCCGCCTTCAGTTGGTGTTCTTGGGCCCAAGTCTTGTACACTTTGCAAAGCTCTTCAACTATCGATCCCCACACCCCTATGGTGCACTTTTCAAGCCAATGTTTTCTCCCGGGCAGACGCTAGGTCTACAGAAGCTCGAAGCTCAGCTGGACTTCGGGGAAAACATCCCATCCCGCCTGTTGCGCTGGGCGCGTCGTTCCTGGACCTCCTCCTCAGTCAAAGGCCCTTTCCTGACGCATTCGTGTGCGCTTAAGCGCATGGCAGCGCTCTGGGTTCGGAGGGTTGCCAGACAATCCTCGAGGCAATCCAAACAGGGGACCGCCTAGCTTTGGGAGCGTGAGGGCTTGAAGAGACGAAGCTGCTCAGAGGGCCCACAAAACATTCAGTTGCGGAGTTGCTTCGAGTTGTGCCCCTCCAAACTCCAAACTCGACCTTTGTTGGCGCGAGGTGTTTCAGGAATTTTCTGCATTCGCGGACTGCCGTACGTGCACTTAAGTTCCAATGTGGGGCTTGGGGGGTGGAGGGGCAGTGTCTTCTCTTCCAAAAGAAGGGCCGTCAGCGGCCTCTTCTTGGGCTCTTTTTCCTCCTCGTCCTTGGCCAAAGCCTTGGCCTCGCAAGGGGGGATGAGCAAATTGCGAGCGCAGGCTCAACCAGCTACGTCTAGCGCACATGGCCCCCGTAAACATCAACAGACTTTTGGGCTTGGCATAGAGATGCAACGAGATCGCGGGATCCCCGACTCCCTACAAAGCGAGACTATCAGCGCCCGCCAGAAACCCAGACCCAAGCCCTAGAATGGCAAAGAAGGGCTTTGATACCCGCTGGGGACTATGACAGGGTTCTTCTCTACAACTCCTCCATCCTCCTTTCAATGACGAGAGGGGGGGCAAGGTTCAAGGAGTTCACCCCCCCCCCTCCCCCCCCGCACCCATAGCAGGGGGGAGCCTCGGCTTCCTCGAGGCTTTGCCTTTCGCTCTGCCGGAGTTTGGCCTTGTCCTTGTTCGACATGTACCTCTGGGGGGGGAGCTTTGGGGGAACTTCCTGCGCAGATCTGAATTTGGAGGGGTTCAGGGCCTGAAAGGCTTCCTTTCGGGCCTGGGGTCTTCTGCGTAGGGGAACGGTGTTTCGTCGTCCTCTCAATGTCGCGAGTGAAGCTGGCCACCGTCCAGCGCAAGGACTGACAGATGCACGAAACCATACTAAGCTGCAGACCGAAACCAGTCTAAGCTACTCTTTGAAGCCAGGCAGCCATTCTTTGGCCGGCCGGGCGGCAATGTTCTTCTTGTGCTTCTCAAGGTTGTCCGACCTCACGCAGGCTCTCACCGCTGAGTCGCTGAGCACCCCATACGACTTTGGGAGTTGCCATGGTTCGGCGTGTGTCTAGGGCTCTGGGGTTCAGCCGAGGTTTCGGGAGACCCGTGTCTGGCCCAGCTTCCGCCCAGCTTCCCAGGCTGCAATGCTTCCATATGCTAAGAATGCCTCCAGACAGCAACATCAAGCCTACCAGGGCCTGGACTACCATCGGGGACATGAGACGCAGGCATTTCTTGGTTGTACAGGGCCCCTCCGTGAGTCGTTCGTCAACCAATCCCAGCTTTCGTGAGTCTATCGTGCGAAGCGAAGCCAGGAGTTTTTTTTTTTTTTGGGGGGGGGGTGCCGAGGGCATTCCGCTTTCTTGAAGTTCCAGACATGCCTCTTAGTCTTTAGGAGCCATATACGCTTGACCGAAGCCTACGCCAGGATCCTGGGTTTTTTTTGGGACCCGGCTTCTGCGCGAGCAAGTCCGCAAGCCGCAGCTCCTGTCTCCAATGGCTTCTGGTGAGAATCTTTGGAGTCTTTGGACCCTTCGGAAACCCAAATTGAGGGTCTGGGCATTGGCTTGGAGCTCAGGGTGAGTGGCGAGTCTCTGCAAGGTCTTGGCGGTCAGCGGTTCCTTGAGGTTTGGGGCCCAAGCTCAAGGGGAGTCAAGGGCTTCCGAGATTTGCCCGCGTCCCTTTGGGAGTGGTGCAGGCCTTAGAATAGGAGAGTTGTGAAGCTCGCTGGTGTGGGGCGCCGTAAATCAATCCGCCCGTGAAGTTGCACGTCGGCCCCGGCAATGTTTTTTAGATTTCGATGGCAAGGCGGCGCACACAGGGCATCGGGTATTGGGATAGAGGTCTGTCGCCCAGTGATGAAACTGGTGCCATAGCCAACACCAGCCTTGTCCACGGATTCCTCCTGGATGATGACGTTGATGTCCTGGCAGACAAGAGCATTGTCGAGGGCGTCATGACGCCAATCCCGTCGTAAAGCAAGGCCCGCAAATATATGGAGAAAGAATAACAGAGATGTTGAGACTTCTCGACGTATGTGTAAACTCTGAAAAACCCCCCAAGAACCCCAAAACAGAGGCGACAAGGGCGAAAGTGGACAGCCGCCTCCTCGAAGGCGGCAATCTTGTCTGCCCAATGCTGGATGGCCTCCGAGCACAACGCCCAAAGCAAAGGTGCCCGGAAGCATCTCGGAAGCTCATTTCTCTGGATACAAGGGAGTATTTGTGTTGCCACCTGAGGTGGGAGACCAACGGGTTTTTGAACAGCCCAAAGGACAACTTCGGAGCGCAAAGTTTTCAAATCGCCTCGACTTGGGACGAGGGGTTCTGGCACAGGCTCAGGGTGCAAAAACCAAATCTCTGAAAGAGGAGAGCAATCTCGACAAGAAGAGCGCTGCAAAACAATCTTGGCTGAACCACCCTGATAGGGAGCCCTTGAGACGTGAGAGCATCACAACCCCAACATCAAAGCGTTGCGAATCATCGCTGCCTCCGCGGCGATGCTGCGACGAAGGACCTTCGACTGGACCTTGCTGCAACCTCGAAGACATCTCATGGTTTTTGAGATGGGTTTCAGACTTGGCAGTCTGCTTAGGGCCCAAGTCTTGTTGCAGCTTCCATTTGAGGGTTCGGATTCAGGGTTTTGAAGCCGCTGGGGAGCCATTCTTCTTTCGGTCTTCGCATGCTGTTGTCATCGATATGGCGCTTCCATTGAGTTAAATACACTCAACCCTGAGCTCCTAAACCTGAGCTGCCTCAGCTCTTTGGGTGAAGGTTGATTTAGGATTGTGGGCCGCGGATGTTGAGCCGGCCAGAATGCATTGCCGAGGGCTTAGCGGTGAGGGCCTTGCCTTGAGGCTGTGAGTGTTATAAAGTTTCGGTATTGTTGGGGGTTGGAGATTCGGAAGATTGGAGCATCATTTAGGATCGTGCGGTGGCTGAGCTCCAGACACTCGCGGCCAAGCAGCTTCACCTCTTTTGGAAGAATGGCGAATATGGAGCCCCAGATGATGCCAAGAGGTGTCTCAGCCTAAGGGACTGAGGTTGACTACAAGCCGACACATCGCTGAGAAGCCACCAAGCTCTGTTGACTACCTTGTCCTTTCTTCATCCGAAAACCAAAATATACTTGGGGCCCACTGGGGTCGAGTTACAGGATTCAGGGATCACGCCTTCGCATACTCATCTGGAATGTAGATGGTAACTGCGCGTCCAGTTCGACCCATTCTCGCCTGGCATGAAGAGCTCCCTTGACGGGAGGCGGGAGATTGTGACTGGTGGGATGTCGCATCGCGCTCAAGTCGTCGGATGCAGCGCTTGCATGGGTGTATGTTGTAGAAGGATGTACCCATCTGACTGCACCTTGCAACCGCGACACCCGATGTAATCCACTTTGGCTGGTGACAAGCCACGGGAGATGAGAGCGTCTCATGGGAACTGTCAAGAGCTATTTCTTCCGACTGTAAGAATATAGGTAAAGCGACCCGCACCCATCTCTTCACATGGAGTTGCAGGTGACAGAGTGGGTCTCGAGATGAAGCTGCGTGCTATGCCTCTGAAGAAAGCGAGGCTCTGAGGGGAGCGCCCCGCGCGTTGCCTTTCTTTTCTCTCAGAGGCGGCTCCGAGTCGACAGCACCGCCGCGGCACGGCGGGCAAAGTCCTTCGGACCTGATGAGGTCAAGGCCCAAGCGGCATTGGAGGATATTTTGACTGCATGGGGTTCACTGCATGGGCTTGGCATGTGAAGCTTCCAGCAGATGTAAACGCTGAACCATTCTGCGTTGTTCACCGTCTCTGAGGAGCCGGCGCTCCATCGGCCACATGTGACCGCCGGGCTCCACCTGCCCGGGGAGATCGGTGTAACCTTTGAAACGTAAGCCTCCAAACCCCTCTTCTGCTCTGCTCTTCTCTCTACCCCTACAGTTAGGATCCGCTGCCGGACGGCTGGAAGAACCCTGTGCTGTAAGGCTGCCTCCACACACGGCGCTGGTCGCAGGGAGCCGAAAAGCTCGTCCGCGGCAACGCGGGTCCTTTAAGTAAAGTCAGACTCTGTGAGCCTGTGACTTGCACAAAGCCCTGCGTCGCCTGGCTTATTGCAAGCAAGGTGCCACATCGTGTCCGTGCCGATGGAGACATGCAGCTCACCTCAGAGCTTAAAGCCCGCTGCTGTCCCAGCAATTCTAGCAGAAAAGACGGCACTCTCGGCCCCTGGAGGTAATCCCTACAATGACCTTCGGCTGCCAGAATTGCATTGGAAGCTCCTGCAATTGATACCCTACCATCTTCGCCACTTCGCACGCCCTGATGCGCCATACAAAGACCTTCCATCCTAAAACCCGGAGACCCTGAGTTTCTGCGAAGCCTAGCTCGCCAGTACAAGTACTTGCTTCCTTGAAAGCGACAGCCCCAGGCAAGCAGCCAGAGCCTTAAACAGAGAATGGACGAGGCCCCGGCAGCCGTGCAAACCGTCTCCTCGGCGCAGCACATCGAGAAGAGCCTGGGGCACCTGGGCTGAGCTGAGGAGTTTTGGGTTCCGCAGTGACTGCAGCATGTCTTGTACAGGCAGTGCATCCTCTGAGGCGGCACTGGAGATATACTACGTCAGACTGACAGAAAGTAGTCGAGAGAGCGAGGGAGAGAGAGAGAGAGAGAGAGAGAGAGAGAGAGAGAGAGGGCGAGGGGGAGAGAGGGGGGGAGGGGGAGAGGGGGAGAGGGGGGGAGAGGGGGAGGGGGAGAGGGTGGAGAGGGGGGGGGAGGGGAGAGGAGGGGGAGAGGAGGGGGAGAGTGGGGGGAGAGGGGGGGGGAGAGGGGGAGAGGGGAGAGGGGAGAGGGGGAGAGGGGAGAGGGGGAGAGGGGGGAGGGGGAGAGGGGGAGAGGGGGAGAGGGACAGGGAGAGACGGAGCTCTCACAGTTGCAGCCCATGCACAGACAGAAAGAGGTTGAGGGAGATAAGGCTCCTGTCCAACATCCCTAAATCCCTAAATCCCTAAATCCCTAAATCCCTAAATCCCTAAATCCCTAAATCCCTAATCCCTAAACCCTAAACCCTAAACCCAAAATCTATGAGCATCCCTACAGGGCCCCGAATCCCCAAACCCACTTCCCCAAACCCCTCCCCCCGCAAAAAGAGAAGAAACAAAACAGCAGAAACAGCATTCGAAGCCCTCAACCATACTGAGATCCCCCTTGGCGAATGCCCGTTTGTGAGGCTCCAGTGAAAACTGTTCGGTAACACGCGACAGCACCAAGGCAATCCACGGAATCCCAAAGCGAGACAACGCAACAGGTCGAGAGGCTCCGCTGAGGAAGAGATTTGCCTCCGTCTGCGGCGAGCATGCCAGTGAACAGGGCCTTAGGCTGGGTGGGCCTTAGGCCCGGCTTGGGGCCCAGGTGTAGAAGCCCCCGCAAAAACCTCCAGAACCTTTTGAGTTGTTCTGGAGGCCAACTGCGGGAGTCTAACATGGCACAGCCTAATGTCCACTAAGCACTCGTGTTAGCGCTTTGGTGGCTCCTTCAGCCTTATGAAGCCGAACTGCCCCAAACACCTTGACACCCTAAAGAATGTCTAGTGCAGACTCCCGTTTCCATTGCACCACCTGGATTTCGCCCCCTCCCGACTACCAGTGCGTAGGTGAGGGCGGTGAGGGACTTGGAGCTCCCAAACCCTAAAAAAGCGCCCGCTGAGCCCGATAAGCCCGATAAGCCTGCAAGCCGGGCCACTCGTTGCCTTTCAGGCCGCCATCCAGGTACCTCGGGCCACGGAGTTAGGCGCTGTCTGGTGCTGTCTGGTGCTGTGTCTTTGCAGTCTCTCCCCTGAGGTCCCAAGAAGTGTCGTCTCAGAGACTTCCGGCCCCAACCGTTGTGACCTCAACACGGAACACGCGTTCTTTGTACGCTCGCTCGGCAGGAAGCGCATGCCTAAGCTCTCCCTCTAAAGAAGAAAGATGCACCACTTGTTCATTTGCTCCCTTCCCTTCCCTACAGACAGAGAAAGTGTACCAAGTATCTCAGAAACAGACCCCAACAGCGATGGAATAGCACACACATTGGTTCAATTTGGTGTTATACAGTCAAATCCCGAAGTCAGAACAGTTGCAGCTCTAGTGTGGACGCTGTATGATACGACTTGGTTGTCGGTTCCCCCCCCCCCCCATAGGGGAATTAAAGTTGAATCCTCAGGGTTCGACTAAAACGATGGATGCCGAAGAAAGGCCTTAGAAGGAACTAGAGAACGATTGTCCCGAAAACGTAATTTCTTAACAAGACGAAACATCAGGAAGACGGTACGATAACACGGATCATCCCATCGTCCAAGGCATCCCCCTAAACTCTTCTTCAAAAACCTTTAAAGCCTTTTTAAGCCTAAGCCCGGAGAAGTGGGGAGGCCAGAAGGCTTTATTAAAAAGAGTTTAAACTATTGGTTGCGGAGAGAGCTAGAAAGTTTATTCTACGAGTAAGAGTCTAATTCAACTCTTGGTAACGCAGGGGAGGGTTTGGGGGGGGGGGGGCTGAGTTTACGGGCCTCAAGAAGCGCAGAGACTTTAGGGGGAGTTTCGGGGCCTCCAGAAACTTTGATACTTTCAGGGAGTTCAAGGGCCTCCAGAACGTTGGAGACGTGAAGGGAATTTAGAGGCTTCAAGAAGCCCAGAGACTTTACGGGGTTTAGAGGCTTCGAGCAGCTGCTGCCCCAGGTGGCCTCGAGAAGCTTACAGTGAAGACTTGAAGGGAGACTGAACTTCGTTAACGTCTCTGAGCTTCTTGCGGCCCTTAAAGTCCCTTAAAGTCTCTAAGTTTCCTGGCTCCGAAACTCCCTGAAGGTCTCTCAGCTTCTTGAGGCCCCCTACATCCCAAAACTCCCTTAAAGTCTCTAAGTTTCTTGATTTCCCTCAACTCTCTTGAAGTTTGATTGTCCCGACATTCCCCAAACAACTCCGCTACGATTTTTAAGTCTCGGGCTCTTTGAAGCCCCCTTACAGTGTCCCTACAACTGAAGCTGTGTCCGCAAGTGGAATTCTCGCGCCGCAAGCACACTTAGATCTCTCTCCGTGCTCACAGAGACATGTGTTCATGCGACGAGACTACTGCGATCTCCCTTACGCTCTCGGAAGCCCGTGACCCGAGCTTAGTCACCGTGCATTTGCTCTACAGATTGTCGCATCCGCTGTAGAGAGAGAATCCTTTGGGAAAGCCAGCGTGCCCCATGTTCATCTGTGAGCGTGCACACTCCAAACTGGACAGAACGAGCCACAGCAGGCGCAACCCCAGCTTACAAAGAGACGTCCGAGCAAGCCCAGCTTACACATCAAATAACGTGACCTCGTGCATCGTGCATGTTGGGCAGACCTGTACGCCAAGGGGTTGGCGCTTAAGCAAGAAGGCCAAATATGGAAAAGCCACGCATCAGGGCAACTGGTGCGCGAGCACACGTGATCCCCGCTGCGCGCAAAGACATTTTTGTGGACTGTTGCGTTCGCGCTCCGTGTGTCCGCGACGCATGGCACAAGTTCTTACGCGCAGCTGCCGACGCACGTCAGACACGGCTACAGAAGGGGCGGGCTCTTAAGCAAAGGCCGAAGATGGCTAAGGCACGCACAAGGGAGACTGCTGCATGCGCAGGCGTGGAATCCTCGCTATAAGCAAAGATACGTTCCTGGACAGCTGCCGACGCACAACCAGCACTGCTCTGGAAGGAGTTATAAGCAAATGCCCAATAATGCATTAACTAATGTTCAATCACGCATCCTGCCGCACGCGGAATCCCTGCCGCGCGCACTGCTAGGTTCGCGCTCCGTGCGTCCGCGACGCATGGCACGTGGCACAAGTGCCGCTCCCGTCACGTGCGCAGCTCGTGCCAAAAATTGGCGCACGTCTCTACACGCGTGCGCATAGACATGCAGCTGCACATGCGAAACTGCAGCGGTCTTGTGCAAGAACACATTTGGACAGCCCTGCGTGTGCAAAGAAACATGTTTATGCCACAAGAACTGTTGCGTTCTCGCGTCGCGGGCACACTTAGATCGCAATCTGCGAACGAGGAGACATGGATCTCAATCCTTCATGCGAAAAACACTGCTGCTCACGCGTTCTCATGCCGCGAGCACTCCCTCCGTGCGCAAAGAGACATGTTCCGGCGAGAAGACTGCTGCGATCTCGCGATGCCTGACGTGTGAGAGATGACTTTTCATTGCAGACGCCTGCAGATCCAGTTTCTAATTACAGTCACGCACGCACACGTCCTTCATGCTCTCGCGAACCCGTGACCCGACACCATGGTCACCACGCCTTTGCTTTACAGGTTGAAGACCCCATATAAGCGTATCCGCAGTTGGGGGATGTTGCCTATGCCGCGAGGCGGCGCTTGGAACACGCGCTTGTCCCAGGAAGCGAAGAAGTCCTTTCTGGACCTCGGAGCAAGCTGGCTGTCTTTGTTGAGCTTCTGCTAGGCTGTGGGTTGTGGGGCTGTCGAAAAGCCTTTGATCTTGGGGGCTACAAATTTGCTGAAGTCTGCCACTGCGCCGGCACTTGTACAGCCGGATCGTAGTCTAAAATCTTTCAACTCGAGCAGCGCCTCCAAAGTCCGGACATGTCGAACTTGCGGAGGGTGGGGTGGTGGGGCCTACTGCAACTCCATTTACAGTCCCGAAGGTGGAAGCACTAAAGAAATTAAAGAAAGGCCTCTGACCCGAAGTCCCTTGAACTGCCGGCGGCGTGGCAGCTTCTCGCCTGCTTCGGCGCGGCTCGGCCATTCGCTGCGGCGGCGGAAGGCTTGCGCCACCACGTCCGGCTCGAGCCTGCACAAGGGGCCCTGGGTAAATGCGGCTGTGCGGGTAAGGATCTATGGGGCTTCAGTCTTTCTGGCGTACTCCTCCTGGCAGGTGTATCGAGTCTGGCCCGCTAGTCAAGAGGTACTGGAAAGACGCCGAAACCGCCGAAACCCGAGAACTCGGGAGTGCCCGCTGCAGCCCTTCTGCGGTCACCCCTGAGAGCTCAGACATCTTTAACACCGGGACTGCGGGTTCAGGGATTCAGTGCTTTAGAGCACGGCCTGCACGTAAGAAGCAGTGCCTTGTGTTGCTCGGAGGCATCACAGGCAGATTGATCAACTTGTGCAGGGATGGGTTCACGAAGAGCCACATCGGCTCGAAAATTAGCATGCGGGAAAAACCTGAGCTCAGATCGTGTCTGTCCAACATTGGCCCAGAAGAAAGCTCTGCCTAAGCGGTCCACCACCCTCCGATTCGTGTTCTCAGACTCTCAGGGTTTCCAGCTAGGGGGCATTCATTGAGGCTTTTGAGGTACTTGTACAGCCTTGAACTTCAATAGTGTACGGCCTGTACGGCTGTCCCAGAAACGCTTTCGCTTAGCGAAAGCCTGCGTCAGTAACAGCACGCCGCCGCCCAGCGAGTGACCTGATGCAGGGAACAAAGCATAGGGCCTCGAATTCGAAGGGCTCTGCATCAGCCTCAGAAACCATAAATTGAAGGAGCACAAAGGCGTGGTCTGGCGCATAAGCTTCCTTTTGTACGTGTACGTCTTTGAACTAGCCACACTCAAACGCGTTGTTAACTTCGAAGACCTTCCCATGTGATCACTGCGAAGGATTTCTGTCCACGAGTGTCCGCACTCCCCTTGATTCTCCCAAACCGCAAGGATCCGGCCCGAAGCCCTTCACCTGAAAGCCATCTCGAAGAGAGAGTGAAGAAAGAGAGAGAGAGAGAGAGAGAGAGAGAGAGTGTGAGAGAGTGAGAGAGAAAGAGTGAGCGTGAGAGTGAGAGTGAGAGTGGGAGGGCTGCTCGGGTGAGAAGAGCTGCTCAGCAAGTCTTGCCACACTCTGAACACCGAATCCTAAAGCCCAGCGTCACGCCCGGAAGCAAAAATGAAACAGGTGGAGAGGGGGAAATGGGGGAAACATGTGCCAGGCGGCCGACGGCGACGACGTCTCTGGGGGCCTAGTCCAGGATCCCCAAAGCCTACAAGACCTCGAAGCATCGCCCCTTTAGTTTAGTAGGAGGAAGCTAGTTTGAGGAAACTGTTGTTCGGTGAAATGGTTTCCTCATGCTGTGGGACCCAACCGGCGGGTGGGCCGTCACCTGACAAACTGCTTGACGAGTGAGTGCTTTGACTTGAGATGCTGAACTCTAAGCCCTAAGCCTAGAGAGTAACGTGCCTTCTTGCTGTCGACGCTTCTTCGGATCTTCCCCCTCCCCCCCATGCCTATGGACTGTGCCAGGCTGGAAGTGAACAGCATGTGGCGCGGCGAGCAACATTGACCAAGGTTTGAATCAACACGGCGGTGTGAAGGGAATATGCTAGCGACCAGAGCTCAAGACCGAAATCTGAAACACCAAACCCGTATCCTAGCTTTGGCCATTCGGCTTTATGTTTGCTGGCCATGTAGGACTCTTGAGCACAGGCTTTGGCACAGTGTCGATGTCCATCGACTACCTTGAACTTTCTAAAAACTGAGGGAGGGTTCAGGCTCTCCTGCGTGCTCATAGCGGTGAAGAAGGCGCGCACACACACACACACACACACACACACACACGCACGCCCGCACGCACGCACGCCCGCACGCACGCACGCACGCACGCACGCACCCACCTACCCACCCACCCACCCACCCACCCACCCACCCACGCACGCACCCACACCCCCACACCCCCACACCCCCACACCCCCACACCCCCACACCCCCCACACCCACACACCCCCCACACCCCCACACCCCCACACCCCCACACACAGACCACAGAACACACAGACACACAAGACAACAGACACACAGACACACACACACCGACACACAGACACACACCACACAACACACACACCCACGACACACACACCACAATTCACACACACACACCCACACACACCACCCACCCCCCCACCCACCACCCCCCCACCCACTCCCCCACCACTCACCCACCCCCCACCCCCCCCCACCCACCCCCCACACACTCCCCCACACACCCCCCACAC